GGAAATTCTTGCATAATATTGCAATATGACATTGTATATTCTTGCATATTATTGTACAATGTTGTATACGTTGTTGAGTTTTATTGTATTGTATTGTTTTTTCTTGTGCTTTGGTATAATATTGAATATTCTTGCATATTATTGAATGTTATTGTATATTTCTAAAATTATTGTATATTGTTCTCTTTTTTTGTAGGCTACTGTATATTATTGTATATTATTGAATCTTTCTTTGTATATTAGTGCAGATTATTCTATATTATAGTATATTATTGTAAATCTTGTATATTATTGTCTACTATCGTATATTATTGCAATTTTTGTACACTATTTTATATTGTTGTATGTCATTGTGTTTTTGTGTTTTTCTATATTGCTGTACATTTTTTGTATATTTTTGAAAAATACTGTATATATGGTTGCATATTATTGTATATTATTGTATATTGTTGTCTATTATTGAATATTATTGTCAATTACTGAAAATTATTGTAAGTTATTCTTTTTTACGTGAAAAAAATGCTGCATATTTTTGTACATACTTGTATATTGTTGTGTTTTTGTGTATTATTGTATATTATTGCATCTTTTTGTGATATATTCTTGTATATCATTGTATCTTATTGTGTCTTCATGTTTTTTTTGCAAAAAAGTGCTCGCATCATGGGATTGGAAGGATTCATGTGCTTTGAAGCAAGCTTGCCCGGACTAAGAAAGCGGGGGGGTTGGGAGGGGTGCAGCCCCCCCCCCCCCCCCCATTTGCAAACACAACGCTCGCATCATTGGTTTGGAAAGGATATTCATATGCTTTGAAGCAAGCTTGCCCGGCTTTAAGAAAACAGCGGGGGGGTTGAAGGGGGGGGGGCGCAGACCCCCCCCCCCCATTTGCAAACACAATGCTCGCATCATGGGTTTGGAAGGGATTCATATGCGTTGAAGAAGCTTCCCCGGCGCCAAACAAACAAGAAATATGTATTGTGTATTATGAATTCTATATCAAATAGCAGTAAATATATACATATATGCTTTGTTATTTCGGTTTAATTCCATTTTTATGATACAAAGGTATACTATACGATATTGTGTTCTATTCTACTCTATGCCACTATAATATTTTGTTATCTTTGTTTTAATATATACACATATATATAGAAAAAAGTATAACATATGATGTTATGTTATGTTTTCCTACATATCCTTTCCTGTCCTTTCATTTCCTTTCCTTTCCTTCCTTCCTTGCTCCTTTGCTTCCTTGCTTCCTTGCTTCCTTGCTTCCTTGCTTCCTTGCTTGCTTGCTTCCTTCCTTCCTTCCTGCCTTCCTTCCTTCCTTCCGCCCTTCCGCCCTTCCTTCCCTCCCTCCCTCCCTCCTTTTCTCCCTCCCTCCCTCCCCTTCCCTCTCTCCATCGGTAGAACAGAATGAATTATTTCTTGATCCTAAATAAGTTATTTTTTGATCCTAAATAATTTTTCTTGATCCTAAATAAATTTTTTGTTCCGCATCCCAGCCGGAGCTTGTGGGAACACTCGCCGTCCTTGCAGGTAAGTTCCTTGTATGTCGCTGGAAATGTTGGTTGCAAGGAAGAGTCGAGTAGGTTTGAGGTAAACTGATATGAAAGGTCAGAACATCGTAAGACGACGTTACCTCATTCAGGATCGGTCGGAGTTTGGGCAAGCGCCCACTGCAGGAGGGCCACATACTTCGTTTTTCCGGGAACTAAGCCCTGGGCCAGTCTAGCGTCAAGATCCCCAAAGACAGACAGGATGGGTCGAGGTAGGGCGATAATTCTCTTCAAGCATACTCCAAAAAGCTCTCACAGCGCATCACTGCCATACATGCCAGAACACTGTGCTGCACAAGAGCCGGCACCACCTTGAAGACGGTAATTGACGGTACCGTATGCTGGGGTAGAGATCATGTTAGAGCAACAGTTCCTGAAATACATGAACGAAACGGGGAGGGGCATGGAAATCTTGGTCATGTTGCCTTGTCCAGGTTCACAACAGGCTGACATGTGGCGCGCTACCGGACCACGAGTACGGAAAACTGGATACCAGACTCCCGTAGACAAGCGCTGACAAACGTGGCGTCCGGTGTCTCTAGAAACTGCTTGCAGAAAAGCTGGGTGCCTCGAGCAAGACCCGGAGATTCTGCCCGATGTCCTCGGTTGCGCCCAAACGCTCGACAAGAGCAAGCACTGATAAGAACTGTGAGTCTCTCCTGGCTGACCGCATTCAGTCCGCAGCTCCCGCAGCTGCCGGAGTGCTCCTGATGGATTGTTGCCCTTTTTCGGCACAGTCTCGGGCATGAGGTCCTGCGCGTATTCAAGGCCACGATGCTCAACGTAGCAATCTCTCTTTGCACAATTGTCTGCTTTACGGCTCGCATCGGATCGAGTCGGCTCCACACAAAGTCAGGCCTGTTGGTCCGCAACAGCGTGTGCAGCAGGTCGGAAACCTCCCGAAAGCAAAGCGACCTCGTTGGGAACCACTGCACTGCGCATGCAGGGCCCAGAGCATGCCATTTGCAAACTTGGTGTACACAGCTAAGATAGAGACCACAACCTCGGTCACATTGCGGACGCACAGGTCTGTTCTTGATGCTGCAATCCTTTCTCATGGGAGGAGACTGACGAGACTGTTGACGATACCTGCTCACCTCGAAGTCATTTATGTTTGTCAACTTTCTGGCGCATTGTTGTTTGCTAGGGGTCTTGACCCGACCTGTTTCCTGCCGCCTTCCATACTCACATCTGGCAAACCGCACCAAATCTCCAATGTCAGCATGGAAGGGTGTGAGATGTGGATAAGATTCAATGCATATGTTATAGAAACAAACCAACCAGCAGACATGTCCAGGGCTGTCGGAGGGGCAGGCATTTGTCGGCAGCACAGAATGACTACACAAAAACCTAAGCCAAAACCATCACGATTGCACATGATCGCACATGTCTGCATCATTCCCAGCAGTCCTTCGCATGCGGGCCAGCTGCACCCTGACATGACCTCTGGCAGTCTGTGGCAGCTCTGAAGGCAGCTCTGAAGGCAGCTCTGAAAGCGTTGCAATCTTGTAAGTCATATCTACGGCTGAGAAACCTAAGGTGTCTTGGGCCTTGTAGTGTCTCAAGACACCTGATCCTGAAACTCGCTGGCTCCGAATCGACGGGTTTGTTGGGGCTGCGGGAGGGCATGTGGACGGTGTCCACAAGTCCAAGGCTTCCCAGGCCAAACGGGGTCTCCCCCTCGCAGGGCGTCTCAGCGGCGTGGACACCACGGATGCATTCAGAAGCGAGGGAAAGCTCCTTGTGCGAGGGGCAGGGCCTAACGGCGAGCATTTTGTGAAATAGCCTGCTACTTTGTGGCGGGAGAAGGGCTGCAAAGTCCACCTGGACGTGAGCATCTTTTTGAAACCTGCCAGACACTGAGAAGGTGTTCCGAGTTCCTCGAGGGTACCGACGGTACCCTGAAAAAGTGCGACATTGAGACGAGTAAGGGATTTTGTCTGTCGCAGCAGCTAGCAGAGGTTTTGCAGAAGGTGGGAGCATCCATCATCCCCATCCAGATGGAGCACTCCACGATGGAGTACACCGGCAACCATTTGGCACGAGGATCTTTGGAACGGTGTCTAGCACCTGTGCTACTTCTTCTGGAACACTTGCCTCTGCTCGAAGCTGTCCAAATCCAGTAGTGGTCGCATCCGGTGCCTGGTTCGACCTGAACGGTGAGAAGACAATCAGCGCAAGGCGCTCGATTCGACATCGGGCCAGCACTGGGCGACACGTCGAGGAAGATTTGCGGCTTTTTCCTTGGTGCAACACTTGGAGGAGTTGGCAGGGGCCAAGCCGGACCTGGCTGGATGCTCGATGATTCTGAGTCTCAGGGGGCCAAGCAGGCCCGTTTAATGACTACGAATGGTCGTTCGCTGCGAAGAGCTGGAGAAGTCTGGTTTTATTGGTGGTGATCTCCGTGACGCTGCATCTTGCAGGCGACAAGCCTGGTGATGTGGATGTTAGGGTACTGCACCAGGACGGACGGCGACTCCTGGTTCCCATGCGAAAACCAAAACTATCCCTGCGATGGTCTAACGAAGTGGTCAAACAATAAGGACAAAATGGGGTTCTCTGCGGAAGTTAAAAACAGGGGACTTGGTCGCTCCGTCAAGCAGCTGCGAAGCAAGCCTAGCGGCGGAGTACCAAGTAGTCTTAGCCAGACCCAGCGAGTGTGATGCCAGCACCAGACAATCCATTGCAATGCTGTTATGTTGTGCTTTTTCTGGTGCTGCTTTTGATATGTTTCTGAACTTGTGTGGGCTTTTGCTCTGAACGTCCGACGCAGTGGGATCCCTTCCTGAAGCAGCACGCACTGGACAGTCAGCATGCTTTTTGGTCGTACGGCAATGTCTTTTCCGTGGCCTGCCCTGCGGCCATGAAGGGAGGCACAGCACTGCTTATTCGGAGTTGTGGATCAACGACTAACGACGGAAAAGCGCCTGCAACAAGTGGAGCGCCCAGGAAAGGCTGCCCAGCCTCAGCAAAACCGTGTCGGCAGACGCAAACGCAAGCAGTTGACACTTGCTTTCTTACTCACCAAGATGACGGCCACAAGAATTCTGGCACTCTGGACCCGCAGGCCGCAAACTCAGTGGCAACAAGTGTTTTGGATTCGCGTTTCTCTACACAAAGGAAGTGCATCGTGTCAAACATCTGGGAACTCACACTCATCCGCCACTGGTGATGCCATCGTGGAAGAAGCAAATTCTCATGATGCACGTGTTCTTTTTACCAAAATTTACGTACTCTTGTGTGACCAAAATGTATTGGCAGCGAACGAGAATCTGAGAGGCTGAAGTGAGCAGGCGGACAGGGGATTCTTGAACTTCTCAAGCCAAGGTCAGGCTCCAGCATGCTTCAACAACAGGAAGCCACAAAAACAAAGGGAAGGGGCTTTCATGGCCTTTCCATGCACAAAAGCATGCGACAAGCATGCACCAACAGTTTCAGCTCCTCCAAGGCCTCAACATCCACGGTCGCCTCACAAGAAGGCTCACAACGACGAATTGTCGACACTACGTCGATCTGTCAACGTCTCTCTCTGCTTTTGGCACCCCTGGCCACCCTCATTGTTTGGCGTGCTGCCGGCGTTGCTTTTTGAGTAAGGCAGCTACACCTCGCACGGGCCACACATCACATTCCATCTACGCCATGCTACGCGCTGCCGGCATCTTCCCGCAAGTGTGCACCCCGCGCCACCGCGGCAAAATCCCTTTCAAGCCAGACTTCCCCTGTTCTGCTTCGGGCGACGGCGAAAGCGAGCTGAGACCAACATACAAAGTCGCTCGATTGCGAGAGAAAGAGAGAGATATCTGAGATTCTGAGGTATCCTTGACATCCTCTCGGAGAGAGCAAAAAAAGGTTTTTTCGGGGGGGGGGGGGGGGGGGGGCGGGGGAGGAGGGTGCCGTGTGTGCCGCTCGGGGCCCCGCTCTCTCTCTCTTCCTTCTCTCTCTCTTTCTCATGTTATCTTTTTCCTTTCTCTTTCTCTTTTCCCCCCCTGTTTTAAAAAGTGCGCGCCTCTCTCTGTAGGTTTCTTTGGTTCTCGCCTTTACGGCACATGCAAAGCGCCCCAAACTCTGCTGCGTGCCACACTTCAAAAAGGGGGCTCTTTTGTGAGAGCATGGGAGCATTCGAACACTCTTCAAATTTGGGGCGGCACAATCCCTCTGCACATGCTTCGTATTGCTTCGTATTGCTTCGTACTTCTTGCTTTGTATTGCTTTGTATTCGTCACATCAGCAAATCACATAACATGCATGGCCACGAGCGCTTGCGCACTTGCCTCTTCGGCTTGCTCGCTGCTGGTGTTCGCCGTTCTGTCGTTGATCTGCACTTCTGGTAAGCAGTAGGTGGTGAGCACCAGCTCACGGTACCTCACAAGTTGACACAAAGGCTGCTCAGAGTGGCGCCGTGCAATCTGCAAACAAGGCATGACCCAGCTCTTCGGTCGACCTGAGTCTCAGAGGAACTTCTTCTGAGGCAGATCTTCTTGCATCGGCGCAGACGAAGAACCTCATTGCAACGAGCATTGCAACGAGCAAGAAGCTGAAGCTGAATTTGAAACTTTGCCTATCTAGCCTATACATGCTGAGGAGATCACTAGCGTTCAACATGATGTACACGAGTAACTTGCCCTCATCCTTTTGTTATTTGCATGTTTCAGATGTTGCTTCATGACCGCGCTGTCTAGTTTGTTGGCGGACAGAAGCAAAAATTCGACATGATTCCAATGGCGAAAATAGCCCTACTGTACCTTGCCGTTCCTCTGTTTTCCTCTGTTCCTCTTCTGGCCTCAGAGCCCGGCTGGAGCAGACCTCGCAACACCCTTTCATCCTGGCAAATCTGAGACGCTTGGGGTGTCTTCGCACCGGGCCGAGCGACCACCCTCTGTCTTGATGCCGCCGAATGCGACGTGTAGAATGCAAACACACACCAAAGACACACTCACACACACCCACACACACACACACACACACACACACACGGACACACACAGCGCACTAAGAAGCGAAGGAGATCAAAGCAGGATCAAAGCGCAGGCCTCTGAAAGCTCCATGGCACCTCGCTGAGACATGCATGCAAGCCCCGTGTTCTCTCGAATCTTGGAATCCACTCAGTGCTTCTTGTATGGCATAGGCCACATTGTACCGCGACGAACGCAACACTTTGGCTAGGTTTTGTGTTCGGGCGATGGGTTCGGAAGGGCTACCTGGTTCAAGCAAGCTTTGCACGGCTTGAACGGACAGTTTCTGGAAAAGATCCATACAGTCATCTGGTTTTTGAAGGCATGTGTTGCTGATGGCGCGATACTTGTTTTACTTTTTTGTCGCACATATGAATCTCAAGTGTATTCGTATTTGTTTACGGCATATATGTATACTTTATGCATTTACTAGCAATTTATCTTGATTTGCGGTAATGAAATATACGGAACATGTATTGTGTGTCATATATTCCTACACATGAGATGTAATCTAGTGTGTGTTCTTTTTCATACAAATTATGTATGCTTGACAAATATTGACAATGTATTTACATCCTACATATATATATATATATACAATCGATTATGAAGCTTGTACACTGTATGTATATGTATCTATGTATATTGCATATGTAACATATGATGAACTAGATAATTTTATGCATGACAAAAAATATCATGTATATATACACACACATACATACATACATACATACATACATACGTACGTACGTACATACATACATACATACATAGATATATTCTACTACATGTACGATACATGATGATGCACTCTAGAGTAAAAACAATTTTTCTGCTTGCTATATGTTACCTATAACAATTGCATACGCTGTCTGATGGTTCATGCATGATACCGAAAAACACACTTTGTATGCTGCAGATTATGTATCTTACACCTTTGTACGTGTCATGAATCATGCAAGTTCTCCGAGGCATGTCATATTGTGGATATCTATCTACTTTTTTTGTATGTCATGGATTATGGATTATGTTTCTATGCTTGGGAACCCGTGCTGATTTTCTGCCGCGCGCTCGCGCTCTGGGGTTATGTAAATATGTGGCCACCCAGAGACGTGTGCTTCTTTGCTGTGCGGTCACTGAAAGCCCACCCGGCCGCTGAGGTGGCAGTGAGTGAGTCCCGGGGCCGCGACCGCAAGCGACCGCACAACAAAACAAAACGCGCTTGACCCTGCCGAACGTGTTCGTTTTCGGTCGCATAGCGCCTTCTCAGGTGCCTCTTCGGAAAACTTACAGACAAAAGCGCTCGCACAGCAAAGCAACAAAACCTGTTGACCCTGCCACGTTCTTTTTTGCTCCGCGGTAACATGGCGCCTTCTCAGGCACCTTTTCGGACAGCTTGCAAACACGAGCGACCGCACAGAAACGCTGCTAAAAACTTTCTATATACGATGCCCGCTCCCCCACGGATCTACTCTTTGATTGAATGTTTTCAGCAAGACAAAAGCCACCCGAAGTCTTGAACCTAACCCTTGTAAAACGAGCCAAGCCCCATCCTTATGCCAGTCAGCTTCGACAAAACACACGATGAAGCTCACGCTGCTCCATGAAGAAACAGCAACGCCGCGCACGGTGACCGCCTCCATGTCTTGCTCATATAGCAACGTAGAGACACGTAGAGTACACAGAACTTAGAAGACACATTGCCTCCGCATTGATCTTTTCTTGCCTACGCTCTGTACTCTGACAAGTACCTCTCCACCAAAGTCTTGCTCCAGGCGCTGCAACCTATACCGCAAACGAGGAAATCTAGCAAAAAATCTAGCAATAGCCACCCTGTACAAAACGATACACTCCGGCGTCTGCCAGCAGACCCCAGGCACACTACACTGACAGTACTGTAACTTACTAACAGTGTCCATGCCCGCGCGATGCCGGAATTCCTGCAATCTGAGCAGGAAGCATATGACGGCAGGGCTCGGTGTCTACAAGACAGGACGACAACGAACTTCGTGGAAACGCTTGGGGTACACTGGGGCGTGGATGAGCAGCTGGCAGTGCCCGCCTACATTGCCAAAGATTCAGTTTGCTCCGACAAGCGGGCCGAAAAGGCAGGCAAATGGAACTGCCGATCTTTGAGACCGAAACTCTGGCAACCATTCTAAATCGGAGGAAGAACACATCTTGCATCCAGGATCACCTAAGCGGCTGTGCCTTACCAAGCATCACTGGAGCATTGCAAAGCCAGGGCGCGAGATCGCAAGCGGGAAGCAGCGAGGGAGCCGAAGCATCCATGGCAGTATGTCGAACAGCCGCCCAACACACAAAAACTCAACAAACACTGGATCGATGTATTGAGCATTCCAGAGTATATGGGGAGCGGGATCGATTTGTGAGGGATTCTCTGTCTTTGTGGTGATTTGGGCTTGGCCATTAGCAGAGCTTGACTGCTTCACAGATTCACACAGCCTCACATGCAGCTGATGGCCGAACCGCACCGACCAAATGCCTGGGACAGGAATGAAACCCGAAGGTGGGCTGAATCCTCTGCACATTGGCGGTGATTATAGCGTTGATGATGGCTACCTCCTAAAACCCCAAAAATTCCTCAAGAAGTCTACAAGAAGTTTACAAGAGTCCAATCGCCACTTTTGGTCCTCTCCTCGGGAGTGACCTGGGGCGCATGACGCTTACACATGGGCCACGGAGAGCTTTGGCTTAAGACAACATGGCGGTGGTAGATTGTGAATGGAGCTACTTTTGCAGACTCAAGCTTGCTACTGCTCCGGTGAAACACAATCCTTTCCTGCGGAAAGGCATGCACACGCCGCGGGCCGTTATTTACCCGCCTCAGTTCACAGCTTTGCGGGCAATCCATCTGCCAGCATCTGACAACAGTATGGTAATGTGAATACCTGAATAGCATCCGCCAAGCCGCCAAGCGTTCCATAAACTGCTGCTCTCTGGCAGCCAGCTTGGCCTTCAACCATCACACCCGTTTAAGAACTTGAACCATCTTGAACCGTTCAACCAGTCAGCACGCATTAAGCACGCATTAAGCCAAAGACAGCCAGTGGAAAAGCTCACCACTGGCCTCGAGCCGTACCTCAGTCTCCCGAAGCTTCTCCTGACAGCGAGACAAGACACCGCTGAGCAAGTCACAAAGGTACACCGACTGAAAAAACAAGTAATTATCATCACACTTCTTGTCGTTCAAAAACGCCCTTGTCCTCCACCAATCGCTGAATCTCCTCTTCGGACATGTCCTCATGTAGAAGGTGGTATGTTCAACAGGCATGTTAGCTCAAAGCACACAGGTCACAAAAACCCGCCTCGCCAGCGCCGGACGGTTTCTCCTGTGGCGCACGTGATGCGTGCGCCTCCACGCTGGCAGCAGGTCCCTCATTCTCAGCAGCTTGCGGCGGCCTCGCAAAAAAATGCAACAAAAGAACAACAACAAAACAAAACGCAGCAGCTGCCAGTCATGTTTCACTGCGCAACTTTGAATTTCATTTGGTGTAACTTCAAATGCCCTCACAATTGTCACATGTGCTATTCAAGCAGGAAGAGACATCGTGAGGCAAGAGATGGGATGAAAAACTCAAAAGCCTTCTGCTCGCTTTTTGTCGGGCGGTTCCCGAGGCTGGAGGCGCAAGTGGCCTGCAAAAGTGTCGTTCAGTCCAGTGCACTGGAACATTACATATCTCATCGTATCTTTGCATGATATGGCCAGGAGTCCTCTCCACTTCCACGCTAAAGCGCAATGTCTCCATGTCTCTTTCGCAGCGGACACAGAACTGGTACAGCAAGAAGTGCCTAAGTATGAGATTGGCAACAACAACGACACAGACACAGGCCTTCAGCTTGTCATGGGAAGAGGTGATGGCCGCTCTGGGTAGGGCACTTGAAGAGCGTCGTGGCTGCATAATCGGTGAGTCTTCGGGCCTGTGGCATTTTCAGCACCCGCATATTCACAGCCGTGCTAGTTAAGTTCCAATGCCTCGCCGCCAGCAAAAACTGCTAGACCTCCAGTTCTTCCAACGAAAACTCAAATCTCAAACGGAGTGATGACACCACTCAGGATGTCGCGGCTTGGCGGATCGTTGACCGAATGAACTATCAAGAGTTCCTGGAACTTCTTGAAGCACCTGAGCAATCGAATCCCACGAGATGTGCACAACAAACTTCAAATGACGCCAGGAGTGGCTGATGTGGACACCAAAACCGCGTTCGGAAAGCCACAATAGCCTACTCGAACTCGTTCAAGGCGGCGTGTTCACAGCATGGGAAAACTTGAGCTCAATTGAATAGGAACCAGTAGTGAAGCCAGCTTTTGTCTCCATATAAACCATGAAAAAATACTCCAATACAAACGGTTAGTGCTCATTACTGGCGCGCTTTACATGAAGGACCCAAGACGGAAGCGGCAATGTACATTTAGTAGATATGCGGGTTCATGACTTTCTTGGATTTGTAAACTTGATGATGAAATCAAAATGAGATTCACACATGTAAAAATGAATCTGGGGGACCGTGGTAGAACACGTCTTGCTATTTTGAGCGTGTCTGATGTCTCTTGTATGTCTTTGTTTGGCCTTCTCTCGTGTGTAAAACAGCAAACATGCAAAAACACCAAGGGCAACAATGTTCAATTGTTGTTTCTCCTTTATGAATATGGGGCGTCCAATCAATGGGTTACAATATTCAATTGTTGTTTCTCCGTTCATGAATATGGGTGGTCCAATATATTGATTGCGACACTAGCAAGCTCTGCGTTTTGCTTATCTCGAGGGGGACACGCTTGAGGTCATGCGTTCTTTCGTACTATTGTTCTACACATGTATATGTATATATTCATATAAATATATGTGTGTATTTTCTTTTATGTATGCTCCTAAGCGGGTTTCGACTTGACCTGGAGTGCAGACTCAAAAGCATACTAAAGATAGCCATTGAGATCGCATCCTACAGTACTTGGTGCGATGAATCTGCTGTTTAACTAAGATTCTGATTTTGCCAAATACATTCCCAAAAAACTTCTAGTGTGCTCAAAAATACACATGAACAACTAGTGTATTCACCTTTAAGAGTAACAGACACAATACATATAGTAAAACACAATGGAAAACAAAGGATTCAGAAGTGTTCCAATGGCTTTCATCAAACAAGTAAACAGCCTTTCTTTGTGCACAATGTGGTTTTGCGTTGCCCAGACCAGAGTTGCGCAGTTTCGAGAGTACCGGGGAAAACTGGCTAAAACAAACGAAAATCAAAGTCCAGGGACTCTTGCCAATAAGGCACTCTGATTGGAGAATCCCAGAATTTGCTTCTATTTTCGTTGGTTTGCCACCTGCGCAGGAATGTTCCATCGACTGTACTTTTCCGAGACATCAACAACATCCATGGACTCTTGCCATTTAGGCACTCTAAATAAACAACATCCATGGACTCTTGCCATTTAGGCACTCTGATTGGAAAGTCCCAGAAGCCAGAAACTGTTGTTTTTGGGTTTGTTTGGTTGCTTGATCTTTTCGGTTTGTGGTTTTGCCACGTGCGCGGGAACGTCTCCGGAGCTTTTTTCCATTTGTGCAAGACGGACAAAACTAAACCAAATAAAGCACACAAAATTCCTGAGACTCTTGCCAGTCCCAAATAAGACGTCAAACAGGCCTAAAATGAACAAAAAGCGCCCTCCCACGCCTCCTGTTTTGCGAAAAAATTGCGAATATATTCAGTCATGCGTTCTCAGCTAGGACCATGCTGATCGACACGACACATGTCAAAGAGCAGAACGACAAAGCCACGGCACATCCCGCATGTTTCACGCAATCTGCCGCACATGCACTCAGCAGAAGTACCAGAAGTACCAATACTTTTTGTGCATTGAGTGCATTGAGTGCATTGAGTGCATTGAGTGCATTGAGTGCATTGAGTGCCAGACTCCGCCGCGGCTGAGCCCTGAAGGAACACGAAAGGAGCACTGCCACTGAAACTGTACACACGTTTGCCACAGGAAGTGTCCTCTGAAGCTCCCTCCTGCAAACCGGCCATCATGTCCTGAAGGCAGTGTTGAACAGTCTTCAAGACGAAGCGGGAAACATTGAGAACTTGATAACTGCAACACCATTAACTGTCCAGGACGGTGGACATGATCGCATGAAACACAGCAGCTTGCCTGAACAGGGCATGCACTTGCTTTGCCATTATGTGACTCCGGCCACTGCAACTTCATAGCTGAGCCTCTGGTTTAAGCACAGCATCTTCGCATGGCTGAGATTGAAGAGGTGGAAGTCGCACACAATCTCCCTGCGATTGGACCAAAGCAACTCCGAAGCGTTTGATCCAGCACCATGTTTGTGTGTTGGTACTGGCACCAAGTGGCGCCAAGCCTCCGAGCTAAAGTCGGATGCACGCCTTCCAGGCCTGTCGAGAAATGCTTCGTGCATCTTCGTGCCATTGCACAAGCAACTTACGGCAGGTTGCGTCAAGGCACCTAACAACTCGGCCAGAAGCTTGGACTGGGCAGCATGGTCTTGCAGCGCCCAAATTCGACCTACGTCCTTGGCAAATCTGTGCTTGCAGCGTCTAGGCGTCGAAAATTCAGTCCAACATGAATTGTCCTGCCAAACAACGTCTCCCCAGAGCTGCGACACGAGATCGGTGAAAATTGTGGTGAAGCTCGGCATGCGAAGAGCTAGGCAACACGTGTACGCACGATCGTGGTCCATGTATCACATGGACAACGGTCCACAAAGACTGATGCCGATTGAGAGGTACAAGAAGACATCACGCAACACAGAGTTGGCGATTCTCCTGCAATGAACACAGTCTCCAACACTCGGCTTGACCCTTTGTGTCTGAAGGCTTCTACCCGTGTATTCTCTGTCTTCCTACCTCACACACCTCTCAAGGTTGCATAGCCAGGCTTGAGTGCGTTCGGTTTAAGGGCAGCACATTTGGTCTGAGCGGCAGCTTGAGGCCAGTCTCCAGTTCAGTTTCATCCCCCTGGCAAGACAGCTGCTTTCATTTTTCGGCCTGGGTTACCTAGGTTGCTTATGGAAGTCCTCCACGGGCTCGGGCTCCGCTGCTTCCTCCTCAGGAGGCTCCTTGGAGGTGTATCAAGTGCCCCAAAAACAAATAAAGCAACGAAGGGTCCCAGGAGGCCTCGGCAACTTGGGGTTTCTTCGGTGCCATGGCGCATCACTCACGTGCCTTGCGAGCCAAATGCACCAACATGCCCGTGATGGGCCCTTCGATGCCCTTCATCCTCCGATTTGGTCGCCCTGACTTGACCACAAACCCACAAACCCCTGCAAACTGCAACTTCAATGCAAAGGCAGGTCTCCGCATTTCCGCACAGCATGCTGCTTGCCAAACCATGAACGTTAAGCAGCCCTCTCCGACTGAGCATGGTATTGCCCGCGCGAATGTTTTTCACAGGCGGCATATCTGCAGATTTTCTGCGCATTGGACTGAACTTGCAGGCGGTTCAAAATCGATCGCAGGCTGAGAATCATCTTCGTCGACAGTCTTTCAGCTGGCCGGCAGGGACTTTCGGAAGTCTCGCAGCTTGGAAACAAGTTTGTCCTGTCTCGGGGATACACCAAGAAATTCCGACAGCATTCAAGCTTGAGCGACGACATTTAGGCCGGCCTACTCAACTCATGCTTTAGCACGGCAACAGAACGCGACAGCGCAAAGTAAAACAATCTACCCAGTATGAATGAAACTTGGAGGCACCGTGGCAGCCAGGTCCATTGAAAGCATTGTGAGGACTTCACATTCGCGCACAACGCACTTGCCATCGATCCAAACATGGCTTACCTGTCAGCACACGGGCAGCTTCAGTCCTAAGCAGACACACACACACACACACACCCATAATTTCAAGTCCCGCACCTGGCGGCTGTTTGTATAAACCAGTTGGCCCAAAGGATCGTAGATCGGTGATGCCTGCACGTGCTGGAAGGACATGTAAATGGACTTAAAGTCGAACTATGTGGAAATAGTGAAAGCAAGAAGAAAAGCAACAATCCATGCCAGTCCACTGCTGAACGTGACTTCTGCTTCTCATTTCATGTTTCTCACAGTCTGCCAACTGTGTTTCCCGCTTGTTTCGGAGATATCTGCATGCCTTCTTTAAGGAATTGTGTCGCAGAACCGCGCAAACTGCTGCAAAATACCATGCACCACCTGGTCACTACCTGCTCTTGCTCACCAGCTTGGGTCCTCAAACCCGACTCTTCCGGACATGTGCAGTGGTCACCTTGTACAGATTCGGCAGTTGATGAAACTTCAAACAAGAAGACGGCTAGAAATGATACATGAGATGAACTGGTCCAAAAGCCGTACAAGCAAAACACTTCAGACATCTTTGCATGATGCTTTCCGGATGCCCAGACCTCCAAGCGTCCAAGGTCAACCGCCACAAGGTCTGCAGCTTTCCCAACCTTGAGATACGGCTTACTTTCCGTGGTGTCTACGGCAAGCGGTCAAGACACCTCCAAACACAGCAGAAGGTTCCATGAGGCTCCCGCCTTAATTGACCCAGTCTCCGATTCCAGCCCAAGTGCTCGCGCACCACGCAGCGTGGCCATCTCCAAAACTTCCCGAGCAGGCAACACTGTGGGATCACCGGTTACACCCTTTGCGATCATGGACGCGTACTGCATCCTTAGTGCTGTTTTTTGCAACGCCTGGGCGCCTGAACAGACTCGACATCCCATTTATCCGCAGTCACCTGCCTTAGGCAGCCCCATACCAACTTCAACAGGACCGGGCGTTGAAGCAGACATGAGCAAAAAAAGCGCCACATCATTCCCTGCCACAAAACTTTTGAATGCGGTGAAGATGCTCTGTCAGCATGTCCAGCGTGTTGTTGGAGCTCGCACCATCCGTACCAAGACATACATTTACACCGCTCTTCAACATGTCTGCCGTTCGTGCAATGCCTGACCCGAGCTTCAAGTTGCTTCTGGGGCAGTGTGCCACGCTGGCACCAGTCTTGGCCATAAGGGCGATCTCCTCGTCTGTCATGTGGACACAATGCGCAGCCACGGTGCGCTGATTAAGCATACCCAAGTCTTCCAAGACTTGGAGAGCTGACTTTCCAGCCTTTTCTAGAACATCTGCAATCTCCTTCTTGGTTTCGTGAACGTGAGTATGTATGACCACGTGACCTCCTGCGCATGCTTTGTCGTACTCGTCCTTGACCTCTCGTAGCTTCTCTGGAGGCACCATATATACCGAATGAGGCAGCAGCGAAGGCTTTATGGACTTGTCCCCTGACGAAATGAGTTCGGAGCAGAACTTCGTGTTTGAACTGACCAGATCGCTGAATCGAGCGTCATCACCGAAGTACAACAGACCAGCCTTAGTCAGTACCGCTTTCATTCCAGCTTTCCGCACAACATTGGCAGTAACGTCGCCATGGAAGTACATGTCGTTGAAAAGCGTTGTCCCAGTCTTCAACATCTCGTAACAAGCAAGCTCTGAACCCAGCCGAACAAACTCCTCGGCTTCTTCAAGAGGGGCTTCAAAAACAAATTTGCCTTCTGTTGGAAAAATGTGCTGGAACAGCCATTCGTTGAGAGGAAGATCGTCTGCGTAGCCTCTGAGCAAGGACATTGGCGTGTGGGTGTGCGCATTGATGAGGCCTGGTATGAGAAGATGGTTCGGCAAATGTAGATCTGGCGTTCCCCCAAATTCATTGGCAGGAGTTAACGCCGTGATTTTCCCGCTTGATTGGTCAACTGAAATGACATAATCGTCCAAGACGTCTGGACCTCCTGGTTCGGCTGTGGCAACCCATCGGGATCGAATGTGTTGGGATTTCCTTCAGCATCTGCTCACGGAAAACTTCAACATGAATCTCCGATTCACAACATAAGAAGAACAGCAAAGCATGTCTAGCCCACATTAGCATACCATGCGGCAAAGCATCATTTTTGCCTCGGCACCATGTGGGTCAGGATACGCCATGAACGGGCTTTGCTACTTACGGTGCAAGACTCGCAGCATTGGTCCTGTACTGTGTGCGACGGGCTCCAAACTCATGAAACTTGTGCAAATGCAGAGGTCTATGTTGCTAGCACGCGTGCTCCGAAGTCCCGAGACCCATATCATCAGACATCCGCAAAATTCTAATTAACAAAAAGAAACATGCAGCAACTGCTTGACAACTCCCTGACGTTAGGGCTCGTGAGAATCCCCAAATCGCACAGAACACGTTTCGAGCAAGAAACATGTCCGGGCAATGACATCGAAAACACTTCAAGTGTGAAAATTCTCACGGTGCTTCAGCACGATGCAAAAGAGAGCGCGCCCCTCACGAGTCCAGGACGAGCAAAAACGAGTCCCCCCACCCACGATGTCCCCAAAAGTGGATGAGCCAAGTCGTGAGCCACAGCGGGCATAAAGCCGAGGTCTTGGATATGAAAGAACAGCAGAGGAAGTCACCCAAGGCACCCCAGCCACCCAAGGCACCAAAGACGCCCACAGCACGGGAAGCAGCAGGCAGCCTACCTGTGATCCTGCATCTGAAGAGCCTTGCCCGCGGGATGCCGAGACTACAGGAGACCCCTTTTGTTGGCCCGACGAAGGGACTTCATGCCAAGCAGACTCTGGGCAAAGGTGAGGGCGAGGAAGAAAGCAACGATGAGGGCGAGGGCATGGCGGCAAAGCCGAGCCTCGCAAACTCGCATTATCTCGCATTGCCAGGCAAAAGAGGTTCGTCAGCCTGGCTTGTCACCATTGCTTGGATTTTCACATCGGCAAAGGCTTCAGCGAGGAAGCTTCGAAGAGAAGAGCCCAAAAGGCCCCTGCCAAGGCTGCTGAACAAATTCATCCGCGGGCAAGAAAAATGACAAGGTTGGAAAGTGTTCTCAACGATTTCAACACATGATCGTGCATGTGCGTATGCCTATGTGCATGTGGGTATGTGTATGTGCGTATGTGCATATGTGCGTATGTGTGTATGTGCGTGTGTGCGTATGTGTGTATGTGCGTATGTGTGTATGTGTGTACGTGCGTATGTGCGTATGTGTATGTGTGTACGTGTGTACGTGCGTACGTGTGTACGTGTGTATGTGTGTACGTGTGTATGTGTGTATGTGTGTGAGTGCAAGTGTGTATGTGTATATGTGTATATGTGTATATGTGTATATATGTGTATATGTGTATATGTGTATATGTGTATATGTGTATACGTGTATACGTGTATATGTGTATATGTATATGTGTGCATGTGTGCATGTGTGCATGTGTGCCTGCGTGCCTGTGTGCCTGTGTGCCTGCGTGCCTGTGTGCCTGTGTGCCTGTGTGCCTGTGTGCCTGTGTGCCTGTGTGCCTGTGTGCCTGTGTGCCTGTGTGCATGTGTGTGTGTGTGCGTGTATGTGTATGTGTAGGTGTATGTGTATGTGTCTGTGTCATTCTGTGTCTGTATTTATTTGTATGTGTGTGTGTGTGTTTGGGTGGGTGCGTGCGCGCTTCTTGGTTTTCAATACACATGCGTGCTCACAACTGGTTGGATTGGAGCTGTGATTTCGGAAGTGGTGCTCCACGTACCAACGATTTAGTCTTGTCCTGCAAGCGAAACTCGGAACAACATCGTGCTATCGTCAGTGAGAAATGTGTGTCTAAGAACCCTCAACCCTGAAACCAAAAGCCCAAAACCTAAACCAGAAACTCTGAACCTCAAAGAGGGCTAATGGACTGTGTGGTTCTGTGTGTGTGTGTGACTTAAAATGCAGTTTCATGCGCACTGTCTGGATGGAGTTGCGGAGGTTCGGAGTGAAGCCACCTGTGCACACACCACGTGGGACATAGAGCTGTTGTGCGAAAGAAGTGCCAGCATGTACTTTGTGAGAATGAAACCATCTAATCGAACCCGAGATCACTGTGTCCTTGAACCGAAAATATCACAACCCCAAACCCCTGCAACTCACACAGTGACCTCATCTCAGCCTGAAACTCCGACGAAATACTTGCGACGGTGAACCCATACAATCTAAAGCTTGAGAGCCTCCTAAAGAAAATTGTACACAACTGAACCCAATAAGCCTTAGGCATAAACCCTACATACCATGCAAACCTTAGAAACTCTACGAACCTTATAAGCCCTATAAACCTCAACAGCCCCACAAACCCCATCCACCCTAGACCCCTAAAGCCCTAATTCTTCACGAACACCTATGAAAGCCCTTTAAACCTTACACCCCAAAACCCGTAAAATGCAAACCCTATAATATTGTCTCTCAACCGACAAACCCAGATCTCTCTGTGTGCTTCCATCACAACAGGCTATTAGGTTTTTGTTCAGTCGGGTGTGCTGCAGGCCAAAACCTGCAGGCCAAAAACCACCGGGGATCCACCTCAGAGCAGGCCTGGCCAGCAGCAGGGTTGGGTCGGGGCTGGTTGTCGGGCAATATGAAACAAGAAACATGTCTGACACGTATTTATGTATGTGTGCTTGTCTGTTGGTGTGTATACCTAAAAGTATGTACGCATTGATAAACATCCGTCTACACATATAAAGGGACAGTCAAGCAATCAAAACATGTCTGCTGGGCTGAGGCGCATTGTGAAGGACTTTCGGGACTATTCATCGCCAAAATGAGAATGAAAAAGGGCTACCAGAAGCAGATTGTCAGTAGCTACAAGGACGATATTATTGGTAGTGGTCACAAAACCATGGGATGGTTCAAGATTTCGGACGGTGCCTGCTTGATGGCATCCATGGGCATTAAGGGCGGAGACGCTAAGCGCAAGTCGTTGGCGCTCTTGGATGAGCAGACCACGCAGAACGTCAAGGACGACGAAGCCACAACGGCTTGGTGGGGCGAGGTCTTCAAGACATGTGTCGAGGCGCCTGACGACGAGAACGTCAATGTCCGCGCTTTGCGCTTTGCTTGAAACCATCGACAAGGAGACGATGAAGTTGGCGGATGACGTGGTGATTCCCTAGGCAAGAGTCAGTGACAAATTCTTTAACATCGCATCCAAGACCAAGCCCTGTGTCGACTTGAAGAAGGTTGCAACCGACATGGAATTCAACTATCAGAAGATGAAGAAAAGCACGGCTAAGTTGCTTTACTCTACGGGTGTGGTGGGCGACATCAACGTTGAGGTGGGAATCGTCGGAGCATACCCCGGGGCTTTACAGGACCGAATGCAGGGCAGGCTCCCTCAAGAAGTTTAGAAAGTCATGGGTTCGGCCTATCAACAGAGGCACGGTCATCCGTTCAATGCCAAAAGCATGGAGGAAACATTGGCGCAATCTGGAGCAGGTAGGCTCTGGCAGGGTTGCTAGCCTATGTGAAAACCAAGCCCTGGGCGGTCAAAAATCCCTTTATCGAGTCCGTCCTAACCTTGCAATGGCGGACTGCACATCCAGGTTAAGTCAATTGGCGCCTGCCACCCCCTACTCCGCCCTCGGAGCGTAGCAGGACGCCACGACGGGTAACTCCTAGCAAACCTTGCCTGCCCGAACGCGTGCTGGCACCCTCGCCAGGTTGGACTAGCAATTCTAACAATGCTGCTGCTTCTCAACTTCACTTGGCTCTCCCACCAGACTAGTATAGGCAATGCGTTGACTACAAGGTGACGACAGATGGCTGGCATTTTCTTTGTTGGACAGAAGCAATGCAACTGCACTTTTGCTGCTAACAAATACTCATTTTGCATATCGTTGCGCTGGTGATTTGAATCGCCCAGTGTGGGCCGGGTATGGCGACTACCTAGTATTGGCGACATCTAGTACTGAGAGAGGCTTGTGTGAGCAGGCTAGTCTCTTTCGTTTCACCACTGTACAGGCGCTTGTTTAGCTGACTTGCTACCTTTGAGTCGAATATCTCGGGTACCTGTCAGCGCTGCGCTAGAGCCGCTAGAGTAGCTTCTTTAGGCCGCCGGTTGAACGGGCTCCGTGCTTTGGTTGGGGTTGCGGGTTGTGGTATTGTTCTGCTGTTTCGTCTGCCAGGAGCCCGTTCTTGCCGTTTTGCTTAGTTCGTCATTTCACAACGGCATGCCAAAGACTGCTCACTGATCTGCTGACGCAGCAAGGAGCTTACCACCAAAAAAAACGTCCATTAATGTAGAAATGTTTGTGCTCCAATACAGCTTTAATCTCATCAAAGACGTAGGAATTTCACTCCAATTGCTCACTCGTTCTTCATCCAATCAATGTTTGCTAAATATTTAACTATATCTTTATTCTCTAAATCGGGATACTTCCTTGTTTTTGTTGCATTCAATGCTGCATTGGCTCTTTCACCCACCTCGGGCAATAGACTTGAAGGCGCCAGCGACGATTCATAATAACCCATCAGGCCACACTGAGGGTTGGAGTTCAACTTTGTTACAATTTTTTGCACCCAGGTTGTAGCTAGTTGAACTCCAACCCAGATTGGAGTTGAGTTCAACCAAACTCGAAGATAAAAGTTGGAGGAAACTCGAACTGTCGAACTTGTTTGGAGTTCTGTTAAATGTAACTCCACTACTACTACTACTACTACTACTACTACTACTACTACTACTACTACTACTACTACTACTACTACTACTACTACTACTACTACTACTACTACTACTACTACTACTACTACTACTACTACTACTACTACTACTACTACTACTACTACTACTACTACTACTACTACTACTACTACTACTACTACTACTACTACTACTACTACTACTACTACTACTACTACTACTACTACTACTACTACTACTACTACTACTACTACTAGGCGTCACGTTCTTAATTGATCGCAGGGGTTTTGTGGCATGCAATTTTCGTGTTAAGAGACGAAAACCTCGGTATTTACAGCGTTTCCTGGCTTTGTCCGTTTACGGACACGAAAAATGGATGTTGCAAAAGTCGCGCAAACTACTTTCAACTACTTTATGCGCAGGAGGAAAACATCGGTATTTACAGTGTTTTCGGGCTTCAAAAACGGTCAATTAAAGGGCCTATTTTGCGC